TGGTTTTTAGTTTGAAAAACTATACAGTACTTCCTGTTCCTGATTCTCATGAGAGGTTTACATTTCGGGGGCAGACTGTGTAATTTTGCAGTGAACAGTGGATTTTGTTGCTTTCACTCACACACTTGTGAGACTGTTGCCTCATTAACACTTGTTTTGAGATTTCCTTTTCCCCTCTGATATTTTGCTAGAGAATTGACTGCACTCGTGACAACAGTGGTGGTAGTAGTGACAGCTGCAGTGATAGTAGTGACTGCAGTAAAGTAGTGACAGTAGTATTAGAGGGAATGACAGTGGTAGTAATAGTAGTGACAGCAGAATTGGTGGTAGTTTCAGTGGTAGTGACTGCACTAAAATAGTGACAGTAGTGGTACAAGTAGTGACAGTAGTAGTGGTAGTAATGACAGTGGTATTGACAGCAGTAGTGACAACAATACTTACTGCAGTAGCGGCTGCAGTAGTGACTGCAGTACAGTTGTAGTGCAGTAGTAGTAGTAATGACATTAGTAGTGATTGCAGTAGTGCTGTCAAACTTTCATCATAAAAAAAATTCAAAGATACTGCAGGTCTTGATCTACAATAAATGTTTGCAAGGATGATGTATGTGCAGCCGGCCTTTTGTGTGCACTAAAGAATCCAGGAGGATCACACAAAAAATCATCAGTGCTATTAATGATTTCAGAACTGATATATTTTATCAAGCTTTTTATTTTCCTTTTTTTGACATGTTTTTTTATTTGCATTGACAGAAGAGACTTCTAAAGAGATGGGTAAGTTTTAAATATTTTTAGTAACAAGAGAAGGAATATTTTCAATATTGGAAACCTTAATACACCTTAAGATGTTCCTTAAGATATGTCTTAATACACATCTGCACTATGCACGTTTTACCTAGTGTACCATTTTTTTGGTCTCACTACTACATATTTATTTTCCAGAAAATATATGTCATCCCTGTTGTCTACATTGTTTAGTGTTGTCTGTTGTACTGTGCATGTCCCGAGAGATCAGCGCGATTAAGAATGCCAATGTACGTCTACATACAGTATGGCAATATACTACTCTACTCTCCCTCTCCTCCAAAAAAAAGGATTAGAGAAGTGTGCATTATATATTACAGTGCACCTAACATAATATTTTATGTAATGCTTGAACATTTCCAATCAGAATTGTTATGCAATGTACTACCTTTCCATGCCTTAAACAGTTTTGAAACAAGCATGAAGTGAATTCAGTAGAACTACAGTATTTGATTTGAATCATCCTATTCCTCTGTAGAGAAAGCAGTGAATAGGTCTGTATTGCAAAAGTAGGAGTTAAACCTGTCTGACTTTTGTGTTTTACCCACAGATGAGCTTTTAAAACAACTGCGTAAGTACTCTGTCTGTGTGTGTCTTTGTGTTTTAACAGTAATGTTTCTACCAATGAAAGTACTGATGTTTAGACAGACAGATGCTACAGTAGTGTCTTTTGGACTCATATGTGCAGGTCTGCTTCTACAACACCGAAAGCTGTGACAATAACATAACCCAAGCAGTCTAGCATTCAAACTGCATGTACATTAAACAAGAATCTCAGTTTTAATTAATATTAAAATCCATCCAACACATGCTTTCCTTTATTTTGCCTGCAGGCCGGCTTGCTGTGGAGCTGGGTGAGTAGCCTATGTGTGCTGTTCTACCCTAAAATTTCTACTGAACTTCATTTACATGACTCCTGAAAGAGCAGACTCACTGGACAGAGTGCAGTCAGTGCTGGAAGGGAGCAATGTTAGCCACAGCTCCACCTTGTCAGCCTTATTACCAGCTCACAAGTCAGAAAATTATTAAAATAAGCAGATGTTGGTGTTTTGGGATGATTATATGCATACAATTAAAATGATCTAAAATTACCATGTAAGTGGTATGATGAGCAGAGTCAACATCTGTAAATAATCAAAACAAGATCAGATCCACACCAGAGATTCCTCTGCTGAGTGAAAAATTAATCAACTACACATAAATTACTTTTATTCAGTAAATATATTCTGAATAATAATAATAATAATAAGAAGAAGAAGAAGAAGAAGAAGAAATATTTTTAATGTTATATAATAATAATTACCTAAAAATAAAAAAATGCTTTATTTCCACTATACTAATATACCACAGGTATTTACATTGAAGAAAAAAACAAAGCAGACAAAAAAAAACAGTAAGAATCTCCCAGATTATACACTACCTGACAATCAAGAATATAGATTCTTCAGTACTAGTTAACCGTCTGTGTTGGTCTTCTTCATAATTTCAAGTAACAATACAGAGATCACTACTGCCATGACAACAGTATTATTGCAATGTTGCAGAGCTGTAGTTACAGTAGCAGGAACAGGTGTTGGGACAATAGTAATGCAGTAGTGACAGCAGTATTCACAGTAATAGTGACAGCAGTGACTGCAGTAATAAACGTAGTAGAGACTGTAGCAGTACAGTATATAGTGGTAGTAGTGCCAGCAGTAGTAACTGCAAAAGTGACAGTAAAGTCATTATTAGTGACAGTTGTAGGGGATTTTGTGATTTTACTGGGAGAATCATTAATTGTAGCAGTAATCATGCGGTAGTTCGTTATGGCTTTTAGAAAATCAATCGTCAGAACAACTAACAACGCACAGACACGGATTTGATGCACGAAACACATTTATTAAACATAAATTGTGCACCAAACATATATCAGTCTGCATGGATACAGGCGGCAGACCTTACTGTGAGGGTTATCAATATACAAGGTACACAATCTCAAAGAGATGCAAAAACAAAGAGATACAGAACAGAGCATATATTTCAATACTGTATATCGTTCGGCTATACCAAATCGCTAGTCAGTGTCATTACCCACTGTTATACTAGACTCGGAAGTACAGCAGAAGCAACAGTAGGATCTACAGTAGTAGTGCAGTGGTGGCAGTACTGACAGCAGTGGTTTGTGCCTGTACCCTTTGCATCTCAGAGCTGAGCATCAGTTCAAGATAAGATCAGTGTTTACAGGTTGCACGTGATTTGAGCTAATGAAAGTGAGCTCACTGCCATCTCAATCTCTCAATCTCCAAGTTCTCTGATACCCTTTTTCTTATTGTTATAGAAAGATGCAGACCTGGAGGTAAGGAAAATATGTCCTGTTACGTAGTTCCAATACCTCAGTTGGATGTGTTCCACTAAGTGAGTTTCGCCATACCTGTATACTTAATACATATTTCTATAGATGCTGCATGGATTTGGATGTAATGCAATTATTGGATTTCATATTAGAAAATGTCTGCGTTTTATTTTTCCCTTAAATTCCAGAGATTTTCTTCTCCGCTGTGACATCAGTGGCTGTCCTAGTAAATAGGCTTCTCAGATTCTGCTTCTTTGTCTGCTGTAACGATTTGATAAAGCACTCTCACTGACATGCAAACAGCATCAATATGGTTGTTTCTGTTCAAGTCAAAAGTGGTAGGAGTTTCTGAAATATCCCCACCTGGTGGGGCAGGTTTACTGTCCCAGGAGTCTGAATGATCCTCTAGATCTCATCTCCCCAAATAAAAGAGTGAGCATCACTCTTCCTGATATTTGCTAGGCAGCTCTTTTTCATTAATAAATAAATAATCCTTACACATATAGAGGCTTTTTAGGACACTGCACTCAAAGCTCTTCACAGATAACAGGGACTCCCCTCCACCAGCACCAATGCGCAGCCCCACCTGGATGATGCAACAGCAGCCATAGAGTGATGAAGCCAGTTCAGAGACGGGGATAATTAGGAAGCCATGACTGGTAAAGGCCAGGGGGAAATTTGGCGGGGACATCAGGGTAACACCTCTACTCTTTTCGAAAAACACCCTGGGATTTTTAATGACCACATACAG